AATTGTTAGCTACTTTTGACTGAAAACCCATATGAGAATACAATATAGCGGGTAATTTCGAATATTTAAACCGCCCAACATTTATACATTTGGGAGGGCAAAGAGTCAAGCTTAAAGCAGCTTTATAGGCAGCTGTTAAAACGTCTTTGAAATTCGTTGTTAAGAAAACACAATTTTAGCGGTTAATTTAAAATGTACATTTTTATTTGTTTCATAAATTGAAATTTGTATTCTTAAGTTTGCGGAAATACTTGTTTGCCTTATCATTGACATACAATTAGCGCTTACTATTCTTCATAATATTTTCTATTTGAGAATCTTGCCTTATATTATTTAACCGGCTAATTGAATTCGTTTCATTTGCATTTCTCTCATTTCTTATTTTAACTTTTCATTCCATTTTGTGTTATTTTAGGCTAAACTATTTAGTGCATGTGCCCATTTTTATCATTTGCTCTTTAATTAGTAGGTTGCGTTATTTACTTTTGTTGTTTCTGATGTTTTTTCTCCCTTTTTGTTTTAAACATTAACTTAAAGCTGCTTATTGTTTAGTGCCTGTTCTTTTTTTTAGAAATTTGCACAAAAATTTTCGTTTTGCAATCACATAAAAAGAGGACATAAAGTAATTATTTGATATACATTAACAAGTTGAGAGACAATCATTACATTACGCAGGACACTCAACGTTTAATAAACATTTATGATATTTTAATATATACGAAAATAGATGTAATATATATGCTAAATGTATTTATGCTATGTATTTAAGCATGTATGTGTACTCAAAATATTCTCAGTGTGTGAACTAAATGCGTTTCATTCATTTTCACTCCATATTTTCACGGCATTTCACAATTCATTTAATATAAACAAACTTTTAATTTAATTCAAAGAGTCGCTGTCGCTGCCGCTGTTGCTGCCTCTGCCTCTGTTGCAGTTGCTGCTGCTGCTATTCGAGAGAGCGACGTCGCAGTTGCCTACGCACACTGCCCATGGCAGCGCTGCTGCGGTCCAACAGCTCATTCGAGAGTCGCGCCAGCAGCGGCAGCTCCCGCATGGACACATTCACGGATGGCAGTGGCGCCAGCTGCTGCTGCAGCTTCTTGATCGAACTCGCATTGCTGCCGGGCTGGTGCTGCGGCGTGACGGGCAGGCTGTGGGTAATCGATACTGTGGGCACGGCGCTGGTGCTGATCTTGATGACCACATCCCTGGCATCCACGTCGTCCACATCGGTGTGGCGCTTCAGTGCCTCGGCGCCCAGTGAGTCTGGGCGAAGCTCTGTGGACTTGGCTCGCACATTTTGCTGGTGTTTCGCTGCCTCCTTAAGCATCATCAGATGATCGAGCTTATCCACCGTGGCCTTCAGTTCGTGCTCCCACACATCGTTCTGCTGCTGACCGTCGCCGCCCTCGATGGGTCGCACTGCGAGTATTTTGACCTTTTGACGTAACGCCTCCAACTGACGCTCGTCGACTACGCCGCGTAGCTCGTTGCCCAATCCGCTCTCATCGTAGTCGCACACATTGTCCTCCTCGGCCTCGTCCTCTGTCTCCACGGCCGACGCCGTGGCGGCTGTGCCGCCGCCCAGCGACATTTGGCTGCCCGCTATCGATGGAAAGTCGCACTTCTCCAGCTCCAGCTGGAAGTCAGGCAGCGATGGCAAAGTACTGGAGGTGGGTGTATTCAGTTCAGCGCCCACACCCGGCTCGCGTGGCCCGGGCGGCGGCGGAGATCCGCTCATCGCTGGATAATCGCCGCGCTGCCTGTGTATGTCCTCGCTGATGCGCTCCAAGTTGCGCAAGGCCGTCGAGTAGGTCGCCTTGGCGTTGCTCACCTGCTGCTGCAGCTCCTGGATGCGATTCTTCTGTGTCTGCAGTTGATCCTGGCACACCTGCTTCTCCTCAAAGTACGGACGCGACTTGTTGATGCTGCGCCTGAACCGATCCTCGAGCTGCTGCAGCTTCTGTTCGGCACAGTGAAAGAGCCGCGTGCGTCGCTGATGCTCGGCATGGCAGTCGGCCTTCTGCTTCTCCGCGTCCATCACCTTCTGTGTGGCATGATTCAGCATCTCCTGCCAGGCATTGTCGAACTGCCACTCGTGCGAGTTGGACATGAAGCGCTGCTCGGCCAAGGCCACCGTCTCCTTGGCAGCTGCATGGATTTCTGTAAAGAGCACTTGCTGTAGCAGGCACTCAACAATGCAATTCTCACACTCACCATTCGCTCGCTGGAATTTGACCGCCGCCTGCTGGCATTCGATTTGCGCCTCGCGCAACTTCTCCAGCGCCTCATAGTAGGGGCGCGCCTTCTCAATGCAGTTGCCTAGCTTCTTGGAGGAGAGCTTCAAGCGGCGCGTCGACTCATTCAGCAGTATGCGAAACGTTGAGTTCGCCTCCTGTTAATGATTAATTTAAATATTGAATATCGTGTCAACTGAACCTTGCTTTCGATTATCACCTCCAATTCGATTTCGAGCTTATTAATTTCATCGGTAGCGCTATTGAGATTCTCTAGTTCAATCTGTAAGCAAAACCGGAGAATATGTTTATATGTAAATAAATGCAAGTTAATTAAATATTTTAGAATATTTTAGAACTAAAATGTCATTTATAATGTATTAGGTCTATAGGACAATTGTGATATCCTAACATATTTATAATATTTATAACAAAACAGAATGACTTAATTTTTTATCAAAAGTATGTTATGTAAATATGTCACGTAAATTATGGTATCTTTAAGCAAAGAGCAGAGTAAAGCTATTCAATATGACTAAAAATAATGAATTGATTAAGCTGTTATTAAATTATATAGTTAATATTATTCACGAAAAAGTATGTTAAGATAATTATGTCACGTATATTTTTATTATATAATTATATTGTCATTATTATATTCAAGCATAAATACTATTTCTACTTTTTACTTGAATGCTAAACTTTTCAATTATGTTACTTAAATGTCACACAACAATTCGTATTAACAAACAATGTTTTCTTTATGTAGATCACCTATACTCATGTAAATCTATCCATCTTGCACTTGCAGTTGTTGCCAGCCAGTTAACACCCACATCAACATCTGCCCCACGACTTAACCCACTAACACAAAATGTCCACGCCGAAGGATCCGAACAGTAAATACGACCTGAGCAAAATATCAGCCCGGGTGGATAAGGTGAATGTGAGCGGATTGCAGCGCACCCACGACGACTATGTGATGCGAGCAGCCGATGGCCTGTTCAAGGCGAGCAACTTTCAGGAGATGATGCTGGAGGCGATGGCAGCCAAATCGTACCTGCACGAGCTGGGCATCTTCAAGGACGTGAGCGTGCACATAGATATTAGCAGAGGTGCGGATGCCACACCACAGGGCTATGAGGTGACGCTGAAGGGCAAAGAGTTCACACGCATCATGGGCTCGGCGGGCACTGAAATTGGCCAAAACGAGGGCTCGCTGCGCACCGAGCTGACCATACCGAATATACTGGGACGCGGCGAGAGTATATCGCTGCAGGGCAGCTACAGCAGCACCAGGGCAAACGATCTGCAGCTCAAGTTCTGGAAACCTTTCTTTCACACGCGTTTTCGCGAGAATCGACCCGAGTAAGTCCTGCGATTTACTAAGCTGAATGACTTAAATTCATTTCGATTTTCTACCCAAACAGAGCATCGTTCAGCTTATTCAGACAAACAGATCGGTATGACATCAGCTCGTTCCAGACAACCAACTTGGGCTACTTACTAGACTTTAGCGCACACACAATGCTGGGCGTTGATGTAAGTTAACATTTAGGATAATAATTAACCAAAGATAGAAAGTAGTTTA